GATTGAATGATTGATTGTGTGTGTGTGTGTGTGTGTGTGTGTGTGTGTGTGTGTGTGTGTGTGTGTGTGTGTGTGTGCGTGTGTGTGTGTGTCTGTGTGTGCCGGGGGGAGGGGAGGGAGGACCCCTCCCCCACCAATCAATCAATCAATCAATCAATCAATCAATCAATCAATCAATCAATCAATCAATCAACCAATCTGACCCAATCAATCAATCAACCAATCAATCAATCAATCAATCAATCAATCCATTTATTTATTTTTCTATTTTTTTTTATTTTTTTTTCACACATAAAAAATCGCTCCCCCTAATTTTCGATTTTTTTTTTTTTTTTGCACAGGCCTATAGCGGCCGATGTGTGCAGGCCGAGCATGCGCGAGGATTTTGAGCGTGCGCCCCCGCCTGGGCGTGGCTCGGTCGTGCGTCAACTCGGTTGCGCGGCCTCGGCCGCGGGCCTGCGCCCTCAGAGGTTGGACGCGGACTAGGATCCTGCGGCCGCGACTGAGGGTGCCACGTAACTCCACGCGCAACAGGCGCGGGGTTCAAGCGCGGCGATAACACCGCCCCCCCCAAAAGAAAGTGGACGCAGGCGGCATTCGAACGTTGGCGGGAGCACATCACACTTCTGCAAGCGGAGTCGCGGAAGGTGTGGTAAAGGGGAGGGTCGATGACGTGCGCCGTGAAAATGGTAAAGAGATGGATGACGGGAAGGCGACGATGACGACGACGAACCCCTTGCCACAAGTTCCCAGCAGGCGGAAGAGAACAACACAAGAGGTTGATCTGGAGGAGAGGTCGAAGTTGTAGGTTGATTGGGACACTTTTTGGGGTCAACGCCCCGAAAACCGTTGAGGGAGGAGATTGGCGACTGCACGTACTACTTCGTCGCCATCGGCCCATCGCTAACGGAGACGTAGGGCCGAACCACCGTCCATGCTCATCATGCCGACGAACGATGTGCCACGCTTCAAGATCGACGATCCGACGCAGCGTGAACCGGCTTTGCGCAGAGCATGCATCGTGGAGAAACTGGTAATGCGCACCATCCAAGGGTGGATCTTCAAATCGTCGTCGAGGTCGAATGGCTTCACTCGTGCGGAGTCGTTCATCACCGTCAACACGCTGCAGATAAAGATGGATGTGCCTCTATGGTTTGTTGGGGTGAAAATTGTGGACAGACCTGAAGATGATGACATGGCGGCGCAACAGGAGGCAACAATTCTTCGTGTGGTGGAGTGCTAGACAAATACGCTTTGGTGCAGTCAATGGGTGGACGGCGGCAGATTGAAACAAGAGAGGTTAACGCGGCTTGCGGATTGTCTGAGGGTTTTGTTGAGCGCATGCATGTGCATCATGCGCATGGGTGGCGATAACGATCGTTCACACTATGAGGCGGGATTGTACGCATCACTGACCACGAAACCCACTCTCATAGCGGCGGGGTCGTACATCTTCAACTGGAGGCGACACATCGTCGAGAGCACCAACGTCGTGTTGGATCACGTTGGGAAGCCCCACCTCACGGTGGGAGAGTACCCGCATTGCATCCCGGAATGGTTTCATTCCGGGTTGGTGTGCGATCATAACGCCGACCTGAAAAATGCAGCTGAAGCCGCAAAACACGACTAGATCGGCAACAGTCCTCCAGCGGATGAAGATGGCGATGACGGCAAGTGACACGGGGGTTCATACGAGAGAGAGAGAGAGAGAGAAAGAGAGAGAGAGAGAGAGTGTCACAGTTGTGTCCCGCAGAAGGTTGGGTAGCATGAAAAACTCGGATTTACCTCTTCGAGTATGTAATGCAAATCTATGGATTTCATTAAGGAATGTGTGTGTCGAAGACTTCGATTTGTTTGCAAATGGTTGCTCACGTACCAGTGCTTTTCTTATCTTCTGTGTGGAATTCTCGTGTCGACTACGGGTGAATGACCATCTCAATGTTGTGTACATATTATCACGTATGGTGGCCGTCATGCACACCACACCGCGCATATGGTAACATTGCCTCCACCCGACAAAACATAACCCCAAAAAGAATAAATGAAAATAAAAAATCCACAAAAAAAAAAAAGTAAAAAAAAGTGCGATGACGATGCTGTTGCTAAAAGGACCGAACTGTAAGAAGATGAACTTGTTTCATTTTTTT